AGTAATTACTTCTATATATTTTCTATAAATGTGATATTTTAAAGCGCGCTTTCATTGKCTTGTTTTCATTAAACGTATAATAAGTTTTCACAGGGCGGCGATTGCGCAACCGAGAACAATTTTTAAACAGAGTGTCCGAGTTATGTTTGCTATTCGTACGGTCATGGTATATATCTGACATTTTAAAGTAATTATATAAGATATCGATTTTAGAATACTATAATTTTGTTTAGGGTCAAATAATAATATGAATACGCTACAAACTTCCTGATTTTACCATGCACATTTAGCCCGCCATAGAATACATCATCGCGAAAAGCGAAAAGCGAATAAGTCACGCAGTCTATTCATACGAAAAAAGAAAAAGCAATGAAAAACGTAATTCAAAAATTTCTAAAAGTAATCTAGTTAACCGTGATTCGAAAAAAATAGTCGTGAGTCGTGAAATCGCCAAATTTCTAGCCGTGAGTCGTGATGCGTACCACCCAATTGAGACCCTCTGATAGGGACGATCATCAGGATTATCAGGATGAAGATGGTAATTTCAAGTGACTAACTGATTCACGTTTTTCATTTCATTGCCCTTGCTCATTCCCCTTATAACTTTCTGAGTTTTACTGACGAGCCTGCTCAGAAAAGGTCGACAAGCAAATCTAACCTGAATGTGATTTGTGTGTTTTTATCCATATTTCCAGACATGAGAAATCAAAGCGCAAAAGACGATAAACTGTTCGAGGACAATGATAATGTTAGCATCAAGTGATTTCATTCTTCGCTGAATTGTTTCTAACTTGTGCTCTTTTCTTATATTTCACAGGAATTCCAAATGGAATAAACCTTAACATGTAGAGAAGAAAGGAAAGAACATGGAATAAATAAATAAATCAAGAAATAGAACCTGAGAATTCTAAATTCACACGGTTTAGTTACATCAGTACTACCATAAACTTACTACATTAAGAAGGCAGCTGATATCACCATTTTATGTGACTTTCACAATAAATGATCCTAGCTTTTTGTTAACAATTATTTATCTAGATCTCGTAAGACCCATTTCGATCCTGCGATATACGATGGAGGAGTAATCCTCTCAAATGACATTTCGATGCCAAAAATTTGGGATCCCACCAGCCTGCTATCACTATAGCCTTCTCCGTATGCGTCTCTATTCCTTTCCTCTTTCCCCTCTTCTCTTGGGCTTCCTGTCTTCCTCAATATGAGTCATATGACCGAGGAAGACTGTAGTCGTCAGGATACCAGAGGGAAATGAAGTGTTGCTTGCGAAGAAGGCTATGGGATCACTAATTGTCCGTGCACCTAATCATTGTAATAATTGTGTGTTTATAGTCGTTAATTAAAAATTGATTACATGTTCATAAATATAAACAAACGCTCTGATTGGTTCAAAGATCGTTATTTTTTTCAAGGGCCCTTTTTCGTGTCCTCCCCGAAAACCCCGTACTTTATTTCATTGATAAATGCACGAAAATCCATCCTTTATTGCTGTTTTTAAATCTATTTAATTTTTAATTTCGTTCATATTGGTGCTTACAGTCTGGGCATGTAGCCTCCTTGGCCTGGTCGTCTGGGGAAGCAGGTGTCGGATGTTGTGTTGTTGTTGGGACGTCCGGTTGCGAGTAGTTTTGACGTCGGAACGATGGCACATTCGCACCGTGCTGTAAATTCACATGTTTCGGCCTTGCCCTATACTCTTGCAGCGAAAGAACGGAATGGTTCGTCGCGTTTTTGTCGTAACTGGAGGAGCTCGGCGCGAAGTACGCCGGGGTTACTACGGGAATGACGGCTAAGGAACGCATGGTTTCCAGAAGTTGTTCCGCGGTTCCTCCGGTTGCATCTGGTTGGTTTTTAGTATGTTGTTGTCCACTGAGGACTGGCGCATTGAAACAGCTGCGCGGGGGCAGATGAGTCTGGGGCGAGTCTGTGATGCCCAGAGCCGCTTCGCATCTTCTTAGGAAGATATTCCATTCTTCGGTCGACATATGAACGCCGACTTCGAGACGTTCTAGAGATGGGGCTCGTGGTCCTGGTGCCGTGGGTGCCTGTCCGGTGGCTCCGACTTGATTAGTAAGACCATGGTTCTGGGCTAGTAGGGCTATGGCAACCGATTCGGATACGTCCGCGGTCTTAAAATCGCACGTTGTGAAGGTACAGTTCAGGATAACCATCGATCCAAGCGTGTAATCACTTCTACATGAAGAATATTTCTCCTCGGTGTACGCGTTTTATTTCATTCGTATACGTGTAAAATTAAGTACAAATTAAAAGTGTGTTTTTTAAAGTCCACTTAAAACTCCCAACGATGAGCTTTTTTTCAAAGTTTCGTGTCCAGACTGTTCCATACTGCTCGGTAGTGAAGGGTACGTTGGCCTGAAGATGTTTTGAATAACGGAATCTGGAGGCTGTTGCTCTCTGTAACGCGTCACTCAGTTGACGGACCGGGTAGGTCGTTCAAGTAGACGCCAAAATAAACATAAATGTGTGAGTGAAGAGAGATATAAATCAATCTAAAGCTTTAAAACATTAAAATAAAATCCCTGCTATCCACTGCTATCACTAAACGTAATGCACTAAAGAATACTATCATTTTAGACACCGACTTTGACAACTAAATGGAATGTCTATGGTATAGTTTGCTATGTTTTTTTTTGTTTGTTGTTGTTTTTTTTTTTTCAAGACAAAATTGGCAAGCCATTGACTTTTACATAATAGGCATGATTATGTCTTTATGCTGTTCAACCATGCATTGATTCAACTATATCTTTATGCAGAAAGATCCTGGCTGAAAGTGGGTCTAAGCTTGAATGATTTTACTTTCATTTTTGAACTCAATTATGTAGTATCTTATCATTTCAATTTCTACTTTACTTTCTCTGGTATGTTACATTTTTCTTTGTTTGTTTAATTATTTTTGATGCTTAAAAACATATTAATGGAAAAGCAGATTATAGCCATGCAAAAAGATGTTTCAGGGAAAATTAGAATGCATTATTGTATGCAAGATTGTAGGCTCAATAGATAATGCAATTATGTTTTGCATTGTCAAATGCAACAAAATATCCAAAATTCCATTGAATATGCAACAAAAATCTGTAGCTTTTTCACAAATTATATAATATGGGTTCCCTGTGTGTCTGGAGTCCCCAGATTATTCTTGATACTTTGGCCACTTATTATTCATAAAAGTTTTAAACAGCATTGAGTCAATATACAGATTTCCTTTCAAATGCTCAACTTCGTGCTGAAGAATTCTTGCCGGCCATCCGCCAGCGTGCCACGACACAGGGTTCCCGGACAAATCTAAGGCAGA